TGCTGCTAAAAGTATTACTTTTGGCTTTAAAGGCATCAAAAAAATTTCGTCGTTGAGAAGGTCTCCTGGTATTTCCTGTATTACATATACCTCTTTGCATTACTTGAAAAATAATTTCCCTGGTAAGGGGAGTTTAATGTGTTCAACAACTGGTAAAATGGCCCCAAATACTTCAGTTTTTCCAACTCTAGCTGGTGGTGATGCATCTCGCAATGGAAGCTCTATTATTTAAAGGTGAGCACGGCTAATTAGGCATAGTGCCTGTCTGCCGTGCCAATAGGATTAGATTATGATAACCTTTCTTATAGTATATGATCTATAAACTAATAGATCCTTTACGGAGAATGCATAATGGAAAGAGGTTTTAACTTTTCTTCTGCAATATGACTTCTTGTTTGTGTGATTTTTTCGTTTTGCAGGTCCGATTGATTACAGACAAGGTGACAGGTAAACCTAAAGGCTATGCTTTCATTGAGTACATGCACAAAAGAGATATGAAAGGTTTGTCTCAATCAATTTGAATTTTGAACCCTTTCTATTTGATTAATTTCTCCTTTTGAAACTGGTTAATTTTCTTACCTCCATCTGAAATTATTCAGCTGCATATAAACAAGCTGATGGTAGGAAGATTGATGGTAGAAGGGTACTAGTGGATGTTGAGCGAGGTAGAACTGTACCAAATTGGCGTCCACGTCGGCTGGGTGGTGGTCTTGGAACCACCAGAGTGGGAGGTGAAGAAAATAGCCAGAGGCATGCTGGAAGGTAATTGATATGATTTCAACAACTTCTGCTCTTTCAAGCGCATGCCTTTGAGAAATATTGATGATTATTGTACTATTGAACAGCACTATTGAAAATGATTCTCGATCTGATGTTTTTGTGCCTTGGGAAGATATTTTTGTTGATTGCTTAAAAGTTACAAAAATGAGACTGAATTTAATGTATTATTTTCCATGCTGAAAGCATTTGTAATTTGTTCAGGGAGCAACAGCAATCTGGAGCACCATCTCGATCAGAGGAGCCTAGGGCTCGTGAAGATCGCCATGGAGAGCGGTATGATGGTCCATATCTTGTTCCTTTTAGATCAACATTTTTTGTCAACATTTTATGCTTCTTTCAAGTAATAATTTCAGCATTTAAACATAACTTCAATTTATTGTTAATTTTATGATACCATGTAAAATTAAGCTTCAATTTAATGTTTTCAGAGATAGGGAAAAGTCTTATGAAAAAGGAAGAGACAGAGAAAGAGAGAGAGAGAAGTCTCGGGAACGTTCCCATGATAGATCTAAGGATCGTGATCTCAGAGAAGACAGACATCACAGAGATCGTGATAGAACAATAGATAGGGATAGGGATAGAGAAAAGGAAAGGGAAAGAGAGAGAGACCGCGGGCATGACCGAGATAGAACACGTGATCGTGATCGAGGAAGGGATCGAGGTCGTGATTATGAGCGTGACAGAGATCGTGATCGGGATCGTCATCGGGACAGAGATAGGGAGAGGGATCGGGATCACGAAGGGGGATTTGCAGACCCTGATCGTGGTCGGTCCCATGATAGGGAATCTGATTATGATCGGATAGATTCGAAATATGAAAAGGACAGGCATGGTGATAGGGACAAAGATATTGATCCTGGTGAAACTGAGGATGGTCATGGGTGGTATGATCAGCCTGCGCATGGGCACAGACACCCACCAGATACTGATCATGATCCCCAATACTATGATCACTTTGAACACAACCGAAGTCGAGAGCAATATGATCACCCCGAACATCATGGCCAAGATCGTTATGATCAGTATGATAGAATGGAGGATGATTACCGTTACGAACGTGGCACTTCTGAAACTCGTGATAGAGAGAGGTCGCGTGATTTGAATCATGAATATAGACGCACAGAGAGATCTCATTCAAGAGAGTTTTAGTTTCTCATGCTGCAGTGTGATCTGATGGTAAAGTATCTGCTCACTTTCTTCCCTTTTCTTTATATAATTTAAGAAGCCATCCCTTCTCCCATGTGAATGTTGTTTTCCAGGTTATGATGATAGATACCAAATTTCATGATAATATCATGTAGGTGCTGTGATGATCGGTGTTGGAATTGTCTTCTTCTTTTGTTAATTGGCCTCAAGTTGCCCAAACATCGTTGCATATGCTTGGTGCTGTATGTTCTGTTCTTCGGAGTGTTTCAGTTTCAGCCATGTTATGCAGATTTTTGCACACAGTTTATGTATGTGCTAAAACTGCTGGACTTACTATTTAAGCAGAACGTTTTGAATGCTTGGTCCGATTACTGTCCTTTAGGTGGGAACAAGGTCAAATGCAGTGGATGGGTTTAGGTTTGTTTGCTATTGGATGGTGTTTAGGAGAAAACTGAAGCTATTAAAATGAAACTTGGTCGTGGTGGTTGTCACTGTCTTGGAGATTATTATTATTACTATATTTTCGTTTTTTTAACATGATTATTTTGATTGTCCCAACCCCTCTCTTGAGTTCATTGGCAAAATAACAAAAACAATGTCCACTCCAGAGACCCTCTCTTATCCCCAACTCCTTGTCAACAATTTAATTTCTAAGTAAACTGTAATGGGCCAGGTCTGTCAACAATTTAATTTCTAAGTAAACTGTAATGGGCCAGGTCTGTCAACAATTTAATTTCTAAGTAAACTGTAATGGGCCAGGTCTACTGCTACCAGGTATTGTCTTTTTTGGGCTTTCTCTTTCAGACTTTTTCTCAAAGCTTCGTCTTAAAACCTTGAGGAGAAGTCCGGAAGAGAGCCCAAAGAGGACAATATCGGCTAGCGGTGGGCCTAGGTTATTATATAAACTTTCTAGTTTGTTATAATTTGATGTATAAAAGTCATTTTCAACCCGCTTTAGTTCCCTTCCTCTAGAGTTTATGGAGTCTAATTCAGTGGAGGAAAGATTTTTTAAATCAAATTGAGGTTTGGGTGATCCCAAATTGAGTAAGGTTTGGACTAAAAGCGTATCAAGTTCCCATTTAGCCTTCCCTTTATAGCATTTAGTGATATCAATAGTTGTAGTTTCCCTTTATAGCATTTAGTGATATCAATAGCTGTAGGTGTCAGGCCATTTTTCATATATGAATCAAGTTTCTTTTATTTTAACAACTACAAACACTAAATTATTACCTTAAGTAAACCCTAAACCAATCAGTAAATGTTATAATTTTGGGACTTAGTAACAAATGCTTAAGTTTAGGCTAAATTGTTGTAAACCCTAAACCAATCAGGAAATGTTATAATTTTAGGACTTAGTAACAAATGCTTAAGTTTAGGCTAAATTGTTACCTTAATTAAACAAAAACAAATCACTTAATGTTATAATTTTGGGACTAAGTAAGTAATAAGTTTAGGCTACATTATATCAATTTGGAAAGTTCTCAAAAGCGTATCAAGTTCCCAAATAACTCGGAAAAGAGAAAAAAGAAAAGAAAATAGAAAAAAAGTTCCGTTGCCGGGAATCGAACCCGAGTCTCCTGGGTGAAAGCCAGATATCCTAACCGCTGGACGACAACGGATTTTTGAGAATTTTTTGTACTATTATTTTAAAGTAACTTATCAAGTATAATTCTCTATTTTTTAAAAAAAAATTAAAACTTTTCCTAAACTTTATCTTAAATTTACCACAACTTTAAATATATATACTTGTAAGTTAGTCTAGAAAATTACGTATTAAGTCACCACCTTTATAAATAAAAAATTATTTAAATTTCTTTTGAGTTAATCATTTTTAAGTTTTATTTCTTTTTAATACGAATCTTCCAATGAAATCCCTTAATTTGAAATTATTTTGAAAAAATATTTCTTAGTTTTATGTTTTTATACCTTTTTTAATAAGAAAAAGAGAAAAAAAGAAGCTTCCTCATTATTTATTTAACTGCTTTTGATGGATTTTGTTGAGACTTGGTTGGGTTCAATACAATACAGTAGAACCAGTTTATGGTGTTAAATTAAACACACACTTGAAATTAAATGGATAACAATTATTAACAAAAAAAAAAAAAAAATTACCATACCAAAAATTAAATTGAAATTAAACCAAGAAGGGTAAAATTGGTATCTCCCGAGTAATTTATTTAATATAATTTTTCAATACAATAATTTTATTAATTATTTTATGGCCCTAAACAGGCTATCTGCATTCAAACTTACACTGCTCTCTGCACCATCCAATTCTAAATACGTCCCGATGAATCGATCCGAAAATAATTAAATAAATAACAAAAAAGAAAAGAAAAGTCCAATTACAGTCCTGTCCTTTTCACCTCGTTGCAACCACAAACATCGCTATTCTTGGACACGAAATCCGCACACTAACAACATATATGTCGTGTCCCAATTCGGTCATTTTCTTTTTTCTTTCTTTTTTAGTTATTATTTTCCGCCAAATATAATATTAATTTCAACAAATTTATTAGTAAAAGACAATATTATTGATTTTAACTTCAAATAAAACTAAATTATTTAATTATGAAGCCTATCTTAAATTAAATGTTGTTCAATACTCTACGTCATATATTAACATTTGAAATAAAAAACTATCAAATAATTTTCTTGGAGGCTAAATAGATTATTTAATATAAAATAAAAATGGGTTAATTTCAATGGGAATTAATAGGTGTGATATTTTTCGACGGACAAAAATAACCCTGCCATGCACTGTTTCAGTATTTGGACGGACACGATCTTCTCCCCATATACATCATCCGACGGCGCTCTCGAGGCAGAGTCTCCTCCTTGAATTGACGCGTCACTCTGAACTTGCTCTATGGTCCCCACTTCTTCTTGTCAGCTTCCCCGGATTGAGCGGGTGCCAGTCCACCTCCTCCTCCACGTGGATGCCCCTTATCCGGTTTTCTCAGATCCCAACTGGACCCCACATGCCACGTCCTCCCCCATTCAACTCTTCTGACTATTTCCTTTAAATGTTAATTTCCCCCCCTAAGCCGAGTGGGACCACCCTCTTCTCTTCTCTAGCTCCCTCGGGGGAACGCTTATCTCTCTCTCTCTCTCTCTCTCTCTCTCTCTCTCTCTCTCTCTCTCACTCTCTCCGTTCTCTCTGGTTAAATAGCTTCACCGACGACCTTGCCGCCGTGATCGGCTAACTTCCGGCAGCTTCTCTTTCTGTATGTGTTCTTTCACTTGCCATTGTTTCTGGGATTTTGATTTTTTTACTTGTTTTAAATTTTTTTGTTGCATGTTTGTGACTAGAGATTTTTTATTTGGCTCTAGAATGGCGAATATGTGTGCCGACAGTGGCAATCTTATGGCGATTGCTCAGCAAGTTATGAAGCAGAAGCAGCAACAGGAGCAGCAACAGCAGCAGCCTCCACAACAGCCGCCGCAGCAGCAGCTCACTAGCCCTTCCACTTTTACTCTGAACCCATGGAGTGGCTCGAACCATGGTCTATCCAGTCCAGATTTGGGGTTTGGGCTTGCCGGAGCTGGATTTTCCGATCCGTTTCAGGTGCAGAGAGTGGTCGACGGTGGAGAAACGAGCTTTCAGTTTCCGAACTTAGAGCACCATTCTTCTTCTTTCAGATATCCCGATTTCGACGGCGGCGCTGCTGCAGATTTCGACTCCGATGAGTGGATGGAGAGTCTAATGGCTGGTGGAGATTCAACGGATAGCTCTAATCTCCCTTCTGGTTGCGACGCGTGGCACGCTAATTCGGATATTGCTCTCTACGGTGATGATCCCTTTGTCCCCTGTCCCAGTCGCCTCACCATCCCCTGTTCTTCACCCTCCGATCTCAACAGAGTCATTTTCCCGGAACCTCCGAAAAATCAAGCCGCCATTCTACCGCCTGTGGTTTCATGGACCGGGCTTACTCCCAAGACTCCACCGGTGGTGGTTAAGGACACTAACGGCTGTTCGTCGAGTTCTGCAGAGAACGAACCGAAACCGCCACTTCTGAAAACCCTAATTGAATGTGCTAGACTTTCTGAATCGGAACCAAATCGGGCGGCGCAAATATTTATCCAGCTTAAGGAATCGTCATCGGAGCATGGAGATCCGACGGAGAGAGTCGCTTTTTACTTCCTCGAAGCTCTGTACCGGAGATTATCACTTCAAACGGAGAATCGTTTGGTTTGTTTGGAATCCACTTCAGATGATTTCACCATTTCTTACAAAGCTCTCAACGACGCCTGCCCGTACTCTAAATTCGCCCATTTGACTGCGAATCAAGCGATACTCGAAATGACAGAGAACGCGAGCAAGATTCACATAATCGACTTTGGAATTTCTCAGGGAGTTCAATGGGCGGCGCTTCTTCAAGCTCTCGCAACCCGCTCCTCCGGAAAACCAACCGGAATCCGGATCTCCGGCATTCCAGCTCCGATGCTCGGAAACTGCCCAGCCACAGCGCTGTTCGCGACGGGTAATCGACTGGCCGAGTTCGCCAAGCTTCTAGAACTGAACTTCGAATTTGACCGAATCCTCACCCCAATCGAAGAACTGAAAGAATCCTCGTTCCGAATCGACTCCGACGAAACCCTCGCCGTGAATTTCATGCTTCAACTTTACAATCTCCTCGACGAAACTCCTCGCGTCGTTCTGAACGTTTTGCGACTCGCTAAATCACTGAACCCTAAAATCGTAACCCTAGGCGAATACGAAGCCAGCCTGAATCGGGTCGGGTTCTTTAACCGGTTCAAGAACGCACTCCGATACTACTCAGCCGTGTTCGAATCACTGGACCCAAAATTACCTCGCAACTCAAACGAAAGGCTGCAACTGGAAAAGCTCGTACTGGGGCGGCAGATCGGCGACATTGTCGGACCAGAGTCGTCGCCGGGAGCCAAAATCGAACGGATGGAAGACAAAGAACAGTGGAAAATGATGATGGAAAATTGCGGGTTTGAAGCGGTAAATCTCAGCCATTACGCGAAAAGTCAAGCTCAAATCCTTTTATGGAAGTATGATTACAGCTGTGAGTATTCTTTGATCGAATCCTCGCCTGGATTTCTCTCGTTGGCCTGGAATCAAGTCCCGATCATTACAGTTTCTTCCTGGCGTTGAAACGAAACCAGGTAACTTGTTTATTACATAATTATGAACTATAATAACAATTATTATTTATTTTTGTGTTCTGTAAAGAGATACCTCTAATCAAGATTTAAGAATCACATAGCGCCCGCCCATTGATGATCTAATTTGAGAGCTCGATGTGATGTTGATAAAAGCGACTGAACCTAGTCTTCTGTTTTTGTGGATTTCAAGAACAGAAGCCGGTGGGTTGCGCTGTCAATCAAGACACGCAGTTCTAGATCTTTTTGTTTTGACCGAAACCTCAAAAATCTGATTCCATAAGTATCCAACCGTCTCCTTCATCTAGACTCTTTTTTGAGACTCTCATTAATCGGCGCTCCACTCCTCTCTGTTTCCCCCTTCAAATAAAACTATAAAACATTCATGAATATATTAGCGGCAGGATTACGTGTCCAGTTTGACGGTGTCTCATCTCCCTGAAGCTCACACACGTGTCATGCTATAAAGCTGGGGAAATTCTGTAGTCGTACCGCCGCACCGGGGCCGTAGAAGAGGAGATTATCTTTTTTTAATTTTTATCTGAAGTATGTTATTTTAAAAATAGAAAAAATATATTTGAGAATATATATATATATATTATATATTTGACACAAAAATTATTTTATTTCATAAAAAATGGTAACTAAATAAAAATTTTAAATGAAAATATATTTAAAGATTTTCGTACCCATTTATCTCCGTATATATGAGGAATATTACGGAAAACTATTTCGGATAATCATTAACCATTGATCACGTGGCAAGCATAACGTAGTTGCTTGGAATCAACGCGATTTTAGACAAACGGAGCCCCAGCCTCTTCACGTTTTCTACGTGCCCAACTGTCTTACGAATTTACAGCCGTTCATATCTACCTGTATCGCTAAATCCTAACGGTTCATTTGACTTGGCCATCTCCCCCCCTTATATAAAGAATTAGCCATTAGGGCTCATTCCCGCCATTCCCGTCCCATATCTGTTTACCTTGTTTCTCAATCGGCACTAGTTTTCGGTCTTGTTGGCGTGGGACGCTTTTAGAAGTTTTGATTGTGAGTGTTGATCTGTTGTTCTTTTACGATCACCGTCGTCCTCAATTCTTGGAGATCCAATTTCAGGTTTGGTTCGTATAATGTTCCAGATGTAGTTGTCTTTAAGTTGTCTGCCGATTTTCAGTCTGATTGGAGATCTCTTTTCACGGTGTGCAATCATGTTTATCTTGCGGCGAAAATCTCTTCGATCGCGGTCGCGGTCGTGGTTTTAACGTCTTTCATAAGAAAACAGGGTTCTCGCAGGATTTTCCAGGTCTTCTGCAATTGAATTGCCGGTCTAAATAGATTCTCAATACAAGGACGATTGGAAAGGTTCCATACTGTTCGCGAGGTGGAGAAACGACTCCGATTCAACAATTTCTCGGGTTGCTACAACCGTAAGAAATTCTTGGCAGTTAAAAACATTTAGTTTCATCCAAGGAAGGTTGATTTGATTAGCGCGTTATGATGGATGTATAAGATATCAGGCCGCAGTACCCCTATACTTTTAGGTTGACTGTTTCTGATCAATCTTTGTCATCCGACCTTTGCCATGGCAGGTGAGCTTGCATGGCAGGTCAACTACGTTAATGAAATTTTCTTTTTTGTGTGTTTTTAGGGGGAATCGCACGGGAATTGCCCGGGGTCCCTCCTCACTGAACTGTGCCGATTCCTCTCTTCCTTTATCTTTCTCATATTATGCCTTGCTGACCGCACCTGTTTGCAATCCTGAGAGATCGCTTGCTTCCCGCTCATGCAGTCCATGAATAACTTTGACTAATCTTCCGTAAGTAGGCGAGCATATAATTTTAATTTGAGCCAAGTATTGCCCATTCATCAGAATATTCAAGCACCAAAGTAAGGTTTGTCATGCTCAATTTAATATTTAAGTAGAATTATCATTCGTATGCCACGACAAAGATATCCATTATTTCACCCCTTCTGATAAAAATCCCTATACATAGATTAAACGAGTATTTCATATCTTTATTTGTCTTTACGGGCAGATGCTTGTGCATGCGCGTAAATCCATTACTTTGTCTATTAAGCAGCACCAAATTGGTCTTGCTGTATATTATGCTCATTTTATGTCACTTTTGATGGCCTAAGTTTGTATATTCCCTTCATTTTATTACTGCTTCATTGTAAATCGCTATCTAGTAATGGAGAGGCGCATGGACAACTCATTTTGGATCGGGCCGAGCGTCTCAATGCTGATATGATCTTCGCTATGCTGAGCTGTCGGATCTGCTGGTTGTGTTGATGCCTGAAATGCCCAAGTGGAACAGTCTCGGTAACTGAATTTTTTAGATTCTCATTTAATTAGGCAGGAAATGCGTCCTTCATTTCTCTCCTTCCATTTTACATATGTTCTTTCTTTTTTGTTTAAGCTATGGAGGAAATTCAAGATCTGATTTCGTCCGATGTTGTTAGTTAACTTAATGTTATGTTTTTCTTTTACACGAGTTTATAGATTTATCGTGGTAGTCTGTAATTTAAGAGTACCTTGTTACTCTCGTTCAAGGAAAAGATAATCTCATCTAACCAACGTCGTTGTGCTTTTCTGAACTTGCTTAATTACGGACAATAATTGTAGTCCGGCATTTTACCCTGTTATTCTATTAGCTGAAGAATCAATGAAACTTGTAAATAAAAATACACCGTTGATTATTACGCTCCTGAATGGTTAGGATATTCACTTGGTTGCAATAAGAATACAGAAAAATGCGATTGTCCATATTCTTTCCCTTGAATAATTTTCTATTGTGGATTGAGTTCTGTTAATATTTTTGTTCTTTATGATGTGAAAGCCCTGTTAATTGCTGCAATCTTCAATCCATTAATGTTTGATCTGTTTTTTCTTCTTATATTCATCTATTGGTGTTATCAGATTGTCCTGTACGAGCTCCTTTCCTTCAATACCCGTCATCTGTACTCCTGCAACTCACAGTCTTAGGTTAGAAAATGATTATTGGTTTGCTAGCGTTGGTTGATTGAATGTATTATTATCTTTTGCGACGGGAAGATACGAGATAGGGGTATTTGATCATACCATCCGTATGTGATGTCTTTGTTATGCATCATCTATATTGGGTTCATGATTTGATATGGTTGTTGTTGTAGAGACCGTTTGGGAGAGACCTGTAGCTCAAAGGTGGTAGAGCGCTCAAGGCCAATAAGGTTGGTTTTTGGGAGGTTGGTGGTTCGAATCCATCCGGATCTGAATGATTAGGTTTTTGTGTTTATATGGCTTGGAATGGATTGTTAAATAAAAGCATGGGTCAATAATGTTTTAGGCTGATGCTGGTTTAGATATTGAACTTCCATTCACTCGCTGCAGCCACCATTCTCACTTTGCCTTCTGTAAGTAATTTCGTTCTTTCCTCTTCCATGAGTGCTTCACAATTATGGGACACGAAGTCATATTATCTAATATCATCTTTAAATATATTAGTTAGAAGATATTGGACCAAGTTTCTTCATCACTGTTGGTTTATTTACTACCATTACTATTTTTATTCAGTTTTTTTTTAGCAATTTTACGTTAAGGTGATATAGTCCATCGATTGGTTATTATTATTGTTTTATTTTGTTGTATATATGTTAGTCTAGTAAGTTGAGTTAACATGTAATATGTTATCGTTGAAAATGTGTTTCTATATTTATTGGTTGCTTTGGGCTTTTAAATTTGACGTAACAACAAAGCAATTCTAGGTTATGTACCATAAATATCATAGTTTCAAGCTGTTGAGGATTGTTGAGAGTGAGTCCGATATTGGCTAATTTAGAGAATGATCATGAGTTTATAAGTGAAAAATATTATTTTCATTGGTATGACTTTGGGAAAGCCAAAGCAAAGTCATGAGAGCTTATGCTCAAAGTGGACAATATCATACTTTTTGGGGAAGCTCAAAACAAAACTATGAGAACTTATGCTCAAAGTGGACAATATGATACCATTGTGGAGAGTTGTGATTCCTAACACAAGCTGTATCGTGCTGACTTGTTCATCTAGATTTATACTAATTGAACATATTTACTGTTGTGAAAGTAGAGAATAACTGGAAAAGAATATATATTATTAGATCCATCAGCATAGGCTCCTGCTGAAAGTTCTCAATCTCGCTTCTAAATTAGCTTGAACCAATGGGCAGAGAACAATGAGAGAAGTTCATAGTTCCAATTTGATTAACAGAACAAAATTGAACTGTCTCTTTTACGAATGTTAATTTCTGTAAGAGAGCTAGAAGAAGGCAAATAAAAGGATTCACGATACAGTAAACGATGATGGATTTAAAGATCGATATTCAACCTCTCTTTGCTGAAACAATGGCCGGTTTCTTACTTTGCTTCGCTGCAAAACGGTATACAACAACTCCAATTCTTGATCCCGGCGCCGGAGGATCTGTATGCAGAACATCGACTTCAAAAAACTTTCTGGCTTTCTTCAAGAAGGCGGAGTCCTTCTTCCACCGCCGTAAATGAGCCATCAGCAACACCATTTTGGGGTTTCCTCCGTCTAAGAGAAAGCTCCTCAACGTTTGGATTAGAGGGTCGTACAAATGGTCATGGTATACAACATCGGAAGCCAGGATGAGATCAAATTCTTGCCCAATCAGCTCGGCGTCAATGGGTTCTCCCCAATGCAGCGACGCCGCCCTTACGCAGCCGCCGTTCGCAGCCACTACGTCGGCGTTAGCTTCGACGTTGAATTGAAGGTTGGAAATCACATGCGAGAGATCGGTTACTGTCACTTTTGCTCCGAGTGTAGCGGCTGCGGCGATTCCGACTAAACCGGTTCCGGAGCCGATTTCGAGAATATTCAGAGTTCGACATTCTGAACTGTTGCGCAAGGCAGTGAGAGTGGGAGTAAGAGGGTTGGTTTCAGGATGAGAGCGTTGCTTGTCGAGAAGGTTGACGAGGGTGGTCGCCGCCGGCCAGAGCTGGAACGAGAGACCTTGGGAACGTAGCTGCCTGATCGATAGTGATGAGTTGATTGAACGGATGAATTGGCGCTGCAATTCAGATGTTAAATCGTCATGTATAACAGACAATTTGGTTATATCAGCTTCCTCCTCAGGAAGGATCACAGTGACGGGGCTTATGTCGTCGCCGTCGCCGTCGCCGCCGTCGATTTCCGAAGACATGATACTGAAGCTCTTGTTTGCGCGTCTCATCCCCCAATATTTTTGCATCCGTCTTGAAGAATTCGTTAGGGCAATTTTCAGTGGCCCAAGAACACAACTGGTTAGGCCCAGGCCCAACCATTGAAATTTTAACTTCGGCCATCTTTCTTCGCGGGAAATTGTCTTTTGTGGCCTGTGATTTGGCATATGCAGATTCCAGAAGACAATCGACGTGACAATTTCTTAGATCCAGACGGTATAAATGGTGCGTTTGAGCGCAGTAATTGGCCGGAGTGTTCGGAGTTCGGAACACCATGATACGGGCGGTGATAGTGATGAACACACAGGGCAAGCCTCGGTTTGCTAAGTTCTACGATTTTCAGGTCCCTTTCTGGGAGTTACGTGCCGAATTTTCATATCCTTTTTGCGGCATTTCTATTTTAATGATCTGTCTGATGATGAATTCTTGAATTTAGACCGTCGGGAAGCAGCTGGAGCTCATTCGTAGCATCTATGGAGGTTCGTAGTTCTATCTTTCGATTATGCTTTCGAAGTACTGAAATGTTCGGAACTAACCTATATTTCAATTTTGATTTCGTTTTGTTTCCCGGTTTGTACAGTACTCTGCAGTCGAGCTGAGAACGTCAGCAATTTCGTGGAAGCTGAGTCCCATCTTCGGTCCGGTAATTTTTCGTTTATCGCATAATTCCTTGTCCAACAATTTCCTTCTGGTACTGTTTGTTGGATGTATTTCATTATGATTCTTGAATAAGCTAAATATTTGTCAAAAATGAATGTTGGTTGGCCTTGTTCAGCCGATTATAGAGCAATTACAGAGTGTATTCTCCTTTTGTTTTGTGCTGCAGGACTCTCGTCTTGTATACAAACACTTCGCCACCCTTTATTTTGTGCTTGTCTTTAACAGTTCTGAGAACGAGCTCGCCATGCTTGACCTGATACAAGGTATTTCCGATATCTATATCATGGATTACTGATCTCTGGATCAACTTTATTGTTAATATTATTTACATGCTTAGACGATATCTATGAAGACATTAAACGGGATGGTATCATGTTAATGTTTAGACATTCTTTAGTTCATAATTATTATAAGAAGCGGGGAGAGGCAATCAATACAAAGAATGATGAAGCGTAGGCTTAAAACTCTCTTTTTTTCATGGATGGATCAGTAATGATCAGTTATGTATCAATTTTTATTTATTTAGGTAAGGTATCAATTTTTGGATTGTTTTCTTATATTATTAGGGAAACCTAATTTTCAATTTTAATCCAAGAATCATTTACGAATTCACAGTTAACTGTTCCCATTTGTCTCCTTAATTTTTGCTTGTGACGGAAAGTCCACATTTTTTTTCAATAGAAAAAGGAAGTAACTTTTTTTTCGGTTTTTAGTTTTAGATATTGTGTTGTAAAATACACATTTTTTTTAATAGAAAAAGAAAGTAACGTTTTTCGGTTTTTAGTTTTAGATATCGTGTGTTGTAAAATACTAAAGAGATGGAGCCAATCCAATATTTTGTATTGTTTTGGCGGCATGGCCGAGTGGTAAGGCAGGGGACTGCAAATCCCTTTTTCCCCAGTTCAAATCCGGGTGTCTTCATCAACCAACAAAAGAATGGAAATACTTTGTGTTTGTGCTATTTTGCTGGTATAACTTTATCAAATTAATTGATCAATTCTCTTCATTTTGCTGGTATAACTTTATCAAATTAATTGATCAACTTGAAGAGAATTGAACCCACTAGAATGTTTAATCATTAAAGCTTGTAATTGCATAATCCACGTGAATGAATCATTAAGCATATATATGAACATATCCGAATGTGGATCTTTGGATGTTTGTTGTTTCTTGTGTATTACTTTTTTTCTCCCGTTCTTATTGAAGTAGCTCCCTTACTTCGTCTCAATGTGATTTGTTTCTGATAAATCCAGAGTAATAACTGTTGCCTCATATTGATAGTCCCTTTTACTGACGTTGCCTGAGATATGTATTTTCAACCATGTAAATGAACATCCAGATCTCTTCTTTAAAGATATATAATTTTAAACAATTACGATCACTCTTCAAAAATGATGAGCCTTTAACATGAAAGGGCAGCAACACACATGTTCAACAAAATTTAGATCAGTTTCCACGGGAACGAGAAATCGAATCAAAAAGGTACTAGTCTAGCACATAGATTCTGGAGGCAATGTCTTGGACCAACCAATCGAACCCCTCCAGCAGCCCCTCACCAGTGAAGGCGCTGCAGCCAACAATGTTCCAGTGCCGGGTTTTGTCCATGGCTTCTAAGTTCAGCACCTGGAGAGCAAGAGATGAACAAATAAGCAGGCAGTAATGTACTAGTTCTTGTTAACCCCTCACTGTAAACTGGGCATTGGACAGCATTTCTTTTAGAGCTCCAACTCCAACTTAGTAATTTCTTTTTAATACAAAAAGTTTGTCAATTATGGAGATTTAGAACATCTGACCTCAAAAGAAGAATAGATGCCAGTTACTATAATCGAAAGAAGAATAGACGCCAGTTACTATAATCTCATTTTGGCCCTCGCAGTCTACACATGCAATGCAGCCTTTATTTCATGCTCATGATTTTCCTAAAATACTATTGCATGAGGACGTAGCCTACCCTACAAATAGATGTGGAATGAACTAAATTATGCCTAACGATAACAACATGCAAGGTCTTCAGCAGAACAAAAAACTTGAAAAGATCCAATCAAAGAAGAATTGAACTAAGAGGAACTTCTTACTTTAGTAATTTCCTCAGGAGAAAGAGCTCCTTTTATGTCCTGCTTATTAGCTAGAATAAGCAATGATGCTCCAGAAAGCCTCTGTAATATGATCGGCAACATTAGTAAATTACCATTCTTTATCATCCATATAATATTTTATTGAAGCTTTGATCATGCATTGCTAACATTTAATCTACTGCTTGTATACTTTAATCTTTCTTTCAGTAAGAAACTGATTCATTATGATATATGAAAGTACAAGAGAGGATACACAAAAGCACAGATTGAAAGTATAAGAGGGCCACATATCAACTTATAAAGCCTATGCTTCAAAAATTTTGCCGAGTCACTAGCAAATTCATAACTTACTACTCGTGAGTCAAAATAAACTATAGACTTGAAAACAATATCAAACGATCAAAATTATCGTCCATACTAGTAATGTCTCGCAAATACATATAAAAATTGTTATGGAAGCAACCCAAGGAAAAGTTTTGAAATGAATTACCTTAATGAAAGATCAAGAGTAAAGAAAACTTGTTTCTAAACTAGTGATTTGAATCACTCTACACATGCATTGCGAGAGTACGCTTACGTATGAGGTGAAAATCACTCTACACATGCATGAGGGAGCCTAAACACAAGAATATGCAAGCTAAAAGCTTAGCTCTCAACAAAGCTAAAATAGAAACTCTATTATTTTCGATTCCAAAATGTGATAGTCTTGGTTCATATAAAAAATGAAAATGGAAAGATGGAGCCTATAATTTGCTTACTTCAGTTTAAAGAAATGATGCAGTCAGTCATTCCAAATCAAACAGATAAAGGAAATATATGCATAAACCAACATACAAGTCACAACTATACCAGAGAAAATAGGTTATGACATTGTCAATTTGCCCAATGAAAAAAGGGGGACTTCTAACCTCTTCTTTCAAAAGATTATCGAGTTCTGATTTGCAATCATCCAATCTTCTAAGATCAGAACTGTCAACAACCCATACTAAACCATCAGTCTGCTCAAAATAGTTCCTCCAATAGGATCTTATAGTCTTTTGGCCCCCAACATCCCATATGTTAAGTGTGTACCTATCAAAGAAAATAGTTAATAGCATTTCAAAATTTCAAATACCTGAACTAGAAAAATTTCCCACAAGAAAAAGCAACCAAACCAGAAGTAGATGATTAAGGTTTTAGAACTTAGAATCTAGTTAAAACAACTAATGTATTAGTGAAGATGAGATTTGTTCCGTGTCATCACCAAAAATTCTCAGAATAAGAAAGACTTGCAAAATAACCCATACATGATGTTCATGTTCATCTCAATTTATTTGCTGGAGCTAAATAACAACTAAAGAGTGAGGAGTGTGCATAACAGATCCCAAAACTTGAAAAGAAAATCTCAATCCAGAAATAATTATGAATGAAAAACATGGTAAAATTAGGAAGGAAGCTCACTTCTGATAGATGATAGTCTTGATATTGAAGCCAAGTGTAGGGCTGATAACGCTAGTATCCTCCCCGTTAATCTTTAAAACGATCGTCGTTTTCCCAGAGTTGTCAAGGCCTCTGAAAACACAACCAACAATGGATCCAAGTGAATGAGATGCAGAGAAATAGACCGAAGCGGAAAGAGAAAGAGAGTTTTACATACACCATGAGTATGCGCATTTCCTTCTCCTTCCTTTTAATTTTACGAATGATACTAAGCAGCCCCATTATCTACGCCGCCTCCGCACCGCAAATATTCCAACAAAATCAACGTGATGAAATTCGGCGCAATTCCGTCGTCTGTAGCTACCAACTCAGGGATATGAAATTGGCGATCGACGGGGAATCGTATGGGTGTTCTTTCCTGTCCGATTTCCAGAGAATTCGGGCCCGCACCCAGGCAAACGGATCCCTAAAACCGGAGAAAAAAATCGTAGCAAGAATAGGTGATTGAGTGAGATTGAAGGTGGATAATCAGAGCGTGTAGATGACGACCATGACGGCGAGGAAGAATGAAGGAGGGAGATGAGTGTGGAGTGAAATTACGAAGAGGTAGAGGAAGAGGAAGAGGAAGAGGCGGGAGGGTCCAAATGAGCGAAGGCTTTAGATTTCAGATTTGATTGGAACTCTCAAGACTACGACGGAGAAGCAGTTTTATTTATTATTTATTATTTATTTATTTATTTAAATAAATAATAAATAATAAACAATAAATTTATTAATAATCTTGTCAATATATTTCTAATTTTATTCATTGATTTAAAATATTATTAATTCGGATGCTAATACCTCAACAATCAAATGTACATTTAAATAATGGCGGGCCGATCCTTTGACTAAGATAGTCACGCAACAACGGGACGAAACCAGAGTGTATGGCAAAGCAAGGCTCGGTCTTTTTCCAGTTGTTCAATGGCCCTCCCGTGGAGAGCCACGAGTGAGGCTGGAGAACGAGCTAGGCAAAGCAGGAAGTTGTGAAGATCGAAAGAGTACAACCTTGCCTTCACCATGATATGAACTCCAAGTTCCTATGGTTGGAATCATGGTCTACCCAGCATTGCTTCATATCCTCCTTCTGATCAACCTGAACAACATATACGGATCCCCTCAGCCCCACGCCATAGAACAAGAAAAAGTTTCTACGCGGCGGAATATGGCATTGAACAGTGGTACGTACGGTTTAGAGCCAAGGGGCCCACTCTAGTATTTTGCTTCGATTCATGCAGCTACTATCTTATAGCCCGATGTGGCGAGTCGCCCGACTATCAAGATGGGATAAAAGGTCAAACCTGCTTACTATTCCAAATTGGAAGATCTCGGGACGGGCGGTGTAATGGCCTAGGCCTCCACCGCAGCCATCCCAAGTGTAGGGCTGAAAACGTTGTGCTTTGCCACACATGTCATGAGACTTGGAATGACGCCAAGACATATAGACTATATCGATTGGGAACCAAGATGACAAGATGAGATGCAATGTTACATTAAGAGACCTTAGTCTTGATTAGAGGCAATGACTTGGCCTAGTGTAGAGCCAAGTCAGTTGTGTGGCAGACAATTGAACATGCATGCGCAGGCAGCGTGTGTAGCTTAGATTTTCACACAAGTGATGTTTGATTGACGAAGACAAATCTCGCATAAAGTCCAACAAAGCCACAAAACCGGAGAAAAATATGTATATATATATAGGGCTTGAGTTTCCGTTAAGACTAGTTGTGAGCGTGTGAAGATTACAAATGTCGCAACTATTGAACCAATGTGGGTTCTCACAGTCTACCTCCTTTTGAGGCCCAACATCCCTATTGGCACACCCTCGATGGCTGGCTCTAATACCATTTGTAATGGTCCAAGTCCACCGATACCAAGCTAAACCGTTTCATCAAAATTGAATTGAAAATTGTGACGATGAATTAATCGAATCAAAGGACACCATTTTCGAGAAAGAACAAACTATTTGTTAATCTAATCAAACTCTCCTTTTGTGTCCCTTTAACACCCTTCAGAGTACTAAGAAAAGATGGGAGATCTTATTATAACGTTCTCTTTGGATTCAACTCAAACTCCCACTCAAAAAAGCCCATACATCTTACCATCTTCTTTTACCCTTCAAATCTTACACACCACATTACTTTAATCTTAAGCAACTCAAAACACCTATAATACAATGCACCCATCCTTCAAATTACGCCTTTAATTAAATAATTTAATCATAGTTCAACTAGTTACAACCGGTTTGAGTTCTGTCAACTACATAGGTTGTTAAACTAAGAACAGTATGCATATTTTTTATACTCGGCTTAGTGTATATTGCAGAGATGAGTTCAAGCAGTGCTTTCTAGTTAAATTAAAAATAAATAAATAAAGAAACTCCCGAGTAACAATAATATTCATAAATTTAAATTTTAAAATAGAGAAATAAAAAATTAGATAGTTAAAGGCATAAGATGCTGAAAATAAATTCAAAATTGTGCATAAAATTCTTAAATGAAATAATGAAAATTTTATAACCCAACTTAAATTCAATAACAAAATGTTAAAATTCAATTAAAGGACAACGTGTAATAAGAATTAAAGCCAAAAAAAACAGCACTCGAAAAAGCAGTCACGTCTAATTATTAATTGTTAACAACCACAAGAAACAAAATATCATTTGAGAAGAGAAAATAAAAAAAAGAAAAAGAAAAAGATTTCCTAGTTTTACTAATTATTAAAGCTTAATACAGAGAAATTAATTTCTTATTTTATTTTTACATATATTAAAAAAAAAAAAACGAAATAAAGTCTCCAAAGTTTTCAAAACCATATTTTGATTTTTAAAAATTTTAGCTAAAAATTCAAATATGTTTCTTAAAAAAATAAAAACGAAACTTATTCATCAATCCACATCAACATAATAATTTCGTGTACAATAATTTAAATAGTAAAAAAAAAAAAAAAAAAAAAACAAA